TACAGTATTCTTTATAATCTTAGTAGTTAGAACCGTTGCAGTCACTCGTTATGATACAGTATCCTTTACAATAATATTGTGTAAAATAAGAAGAAAGTTGGTGGTAATCCTAGTAGTTAGAACCGTTGCAGTCACTCGTTATGATACACTATCCTTTACAATAATATTGTGTGAAATAAGAAGAAAGTTGGTGATAATCTTAGTAGTTAGAACCGTTGCAGTCACTCGTTATGATACACTATCCTTTACAATAATATTGTGTAAAATAAGGAGAAAGTTGGTGATAATCTTAGTAGTTAGAACCGTTGCAGTCACTCCTTATGATACAGTATCCTTTACAATAATATTGTGTAAAATAAGAAGAAAGTTGGTGGTAATCTTAGTACTTAGAACCGTTGCAGTCACTCGTTATGATACAGTATCCTTTACAATAATATTGTGTAATCATATTGATTAATCAAATTTGACCTTCTAGTAATCTCTCTCATTTTGTTTTTCTTACTTTGATGTTATAAAACAAATTGTTTTGCTAAAGAAAAGTTTATTTTACTTGTCCAATTGACACATTTTACTTAATTACTATAACACATTTACAGTTCCAAAACACCTGGGGGTAAGCTTGTATACCTGTACCCCAAGAAACCTGGAAAGGTACCAGTATGTGGAGACTGCAAACTGAAACTGAGGGGGGTAAGTTTAACCCCTTGTTTAGATCTGCTATATCAGTCTAGTTTTATTACAAATGTGTTGTTAATATCTTTGGTTTATCATTGAATTACAGATATTGTGAAATGTTACTTTTATAAGTACTGTTGAGAAATATTGTAGTAAACCATCTTAAACGTATTAGAATTTTGGAGCTAGTTTCATGAACCATGATAATGGTTTACAATAGGGATTGCAAGGAATTGCACAAAACCCTATAGAAAGTTTGTGCAAATGTCACCTTAAACAGCAACAATTCAATTCAAACAACACATTAAACCATTTTAACTATTGACTGCTATGGCTGTACACATCAAAATGCACAAAGAAAGCAAGCATGTTAAATTTACAAGGAAAAGAAAATCTGCTCAAAATGACCTGTTTGTAATTATTATTAATCAATTACATTCAGTGAATGATTTGTTGTCTCATTAATCAATTACATTCAATGAATGACTTGTTGGTCTCATTAATCAATTACATTCAATGAATGATTTGTTGTTCTCATTAATCAGTTACATTCAATGAATGATTTGTTGGTCTCATTAATCAGTTACATTCAATGAATGATTTGTTGGTCTCATTAATCAGTTATATTCAATGAATGATTTGTTGGTCTCATTAATCAGTTATATTCAATGAATGATTTGTTGTTCTCATTAATCAGTTATATTCAATGAATGATTTGTTGTTCTCATTAATCAGTTATATTCAATGAATGATTTGTTGGTCTCATTAATCAGTTACATTCAGTGAATGACTTGTTGGTCTCATTAATCAGTTACATTCAGTGAATGACTTGTTGGTCTCATTAATCAGTTACATTCAGTGAATGACTTGTTGG